GGAAATTGTGCAGCTTGCTACCCAGCATGTACTTCCCGTTTTCACTCCTGCGCAGTGTGAAGAAAGAGCGATCTTGCACCTGCACAGTTTGAAGAAATCCCTGCAATCGCATCACTCCGGTCTCATAATAACGCAAGATTTTGGTATTAGGCATTCCCTAGGACTGCTGAGATAGATAACGCCAATATTCCAGAAGCCATAGGGAATGCCTGATGATATAATTGCCTAGGCGGCCGGGACCAGAAGGGGAGACAGAAATTATCAATAAAAGGTATTTAGGAAAAAAAACCTACATACAGTATGTATTGCCAAAACGGACTGTGAAAAGGGAGACCATTGTCTTTCAGGGGAGAAAAAAAAAAGGCTGGAACTCCGCTTTAACTATTCACTTTACTGACTTCCTGTCCCAGAGATATGGCAGTAAATAAGATCTCTCCAAATTGAGTTTTAAACCTATTAGCAGATTTCCTCTCAACACCTGTTGCTCTACCATCGCTTTCTGTACCAGAGATCAGCAAGACCAACCGAGAGGGTGAATAATCCTAGCAGGGACAAAGATAGTAGTAAAAATAAGACAGGGGTTTTGAACTTTCCACATTCTATAACACATTTTGGTTTTATACACACTTTAAAACTGAACTCCATGCAGATAAGAAAGACATACATTAATGCATCTGTGTATCCATTATTACATCCATGGATATGTTTTAAATAATTATTAATAATGCAAGTGATGTAAATAGGAAGTAATAGGAAATTTCCCTATAACTAGCAGAAAACCCACTTAGACAGTTGTCACCAGAACAAATGTCCTTATTGGAAGATTTTCCCTCACCTCCCATTCTTGTGGCAATTTGCTGTATCAGAGACCATGGTCACTAGGACAAACAAAGAGAGTGAATTTCCCCAGAGAGGGCACAGACAATAATAAAACCCAACAAGGGTTTTAAATCATCCCCACTCTACCCAAAACTACAAAAGTGCTTTGGCTTTACATACCATACTTAAATAATACTTTTATTAATACACTGTTCAAAAAACATAATAGGAACACTTTTTAATAAGAATATAGCATCAAGTCAATTAAACTCCTGGGATATTGATCTGGTCCGTTAAGTAGCAGAGGGGGTTGTTAATCACTTTCAGCTGCTTTTGGTGTTAATGAAATTAACAGGTGCACTAGATGGGCATCAATGAGATGATCCCCAAAACAGGAATAATTTTACAGGTGGAGGCCACTGACATTTTTTTTCCCCTGCTCATCTTTCCTGACTGTTTTTCACTAGTTTCGTATTTGGCTAGGGTCAGTGTCACTACTGGTAGCATGAGGCGATACCTGGACCCTACAGAGGTTGCACAGGCAGTCCCACTCCTCCAGAATGTCACATCAATACGTGCCATTGCCAGAATGTTTGCTGTGTCTCCAAGCACAGTCTCAAGAGCATGGAGGGGATTCCAGTAAACAGGCAGTTACTCTACGAGAGCTGGACAGGGCCGTAAAAGGTCCTTAACCCATCAGCAGGACCGGTATCTGCTCTTTTGTGCAAGGAGGAATAAGATGAGCATTGCCAGAACCCTACAAAATGGCCTCAAGCAGTCCACTGGTGGAATGTCTCTGACCAAACAACTAGAAACAGATTTCATGAGGGTGGCCTAAGGGCTCGACATCTTCTAGTGGGCCCTGTGCTCACTGCCCGGCACCATAGCACATTTGCCATTGAACACCAGAATTTGCAGGTCTGCTACTGGCACACTGTGCTTTACACAGATAAGAGCAGGTTCACCCTGAGCACATGTGATAGACATGAAAGGGTCTGGAGAAGCCATGGAGAATGTTATGCTGCCTGTAACATCTTTCAGCATGACCATTTTGGTGGAGGGTCAGTGATGGTCTGGAGAGGCATATCTATGGAGGGACGCACAGACCAATACAGGTTAGACAATGGCACCCTGATTTCCATTAGGTATTGGGAAGAAATCCTTGGACCCATTGTCAGACCCTACGCTGGTGCAGTGGGTCCTGGGTTCTTCCTGGTGCATGACAATGCCGGGCCTCATGTGGTGAAAGTACGCAGGCAAGTTCTGGGTGGATGAAGGCATTGACACCACTGAATTGCTGGCATGCTCGCCTGACCTAAATTCAAATAGAACACCTCTGGAATATCATGTTTCGGTTCATCTGATGCTGCCAGGTTGCACCTCAGACTGTCCAGGAGCTCAGTGATGCCCTGGTCCAGATCTGGGAGGAAATACCCCAGGACACCATCCGTCGTCTCATTAGGAGCATGCCCCAACGTGGGGCCATACTGAGTACCATTTTGAGTTGCTGCAATGAAATTTCAGCAAAATGAACTAGCCTGCTGCATAATTTTTTCACTTTGATTTTTGGGGTGTCTTTGAGTTCAGTCCTCTGTAGGCTGATGATTTTCATTTCCATCAAACGATGGGGCATTCTTACCTTCCTAACACACTACCCAGTCCATATCAGTATAGATATCCAGAATGATATTTTCCCCCATTGAGATCTGATGTGTTTTCAAAGTGTTCCTTTACTTTTTTGAGCAGTGTATATTAGAGATATCTATGTGGTTGTATGTTGACATGCCAGTGTACAAATATCCATTGGCTTCCAAATTACAAATCAAATTTTAAATGTTTTGAATATTTTCCTACAGTACATTACAGACAATGTTCTTATATAATAAAGGTTCATTCGAATATTAACTAACCATTTAAAATGCAAACATGGCTATCGAACATCCATTCATTTGTGGATTATGCCCTATAGAAGACAATCGCTGCTGGCTTTGAAATGGGCCATCATGTATGTTGTTTTCATAAATATAAAGATAAACATGAAATGACCCAATTTCGTGAAATGAATTACTCTGATATCATGCAATGGGTTTCTCAGTAGGAAGCCATTTTCTATAAATTTATGAATGTTATTGCTTTGAGTTTTGTTCTTTTCTGGTACTGATATTTCCAAGTTGTTTTAGAAACGTTGAATAATCAGCCACACTGAATAAAATAAACAACCTGTCAACAATGATTCATTCTGATGATGAATAGAAATAATCCAATAAGAGGAAAGAAAGCACAGAAAAAAGATGAGAGGATGGGAAGCAAGGATTAAATTGTAATCAACACATCTACACTATAAAAAGTATTTTAAAAGAACAGAAGATAGTTATTTTAAGACCTCCACAATCTCCAAGTGCTATACGGACTGCATGATACATACAGTATACTGTATATCAGGATTAAGGGCATTCAAAAATGTAACTTAAACAGAAGTTAAACTGAGGGACCTGTGCTCAGAAAAGGTAGGCAGCAGGCAAAGGACTAGTTATCAATATTGCCTAAAACTGATCTTTTTCCAGTTATTGACACATCTTGCCTTGTTCTTCACTTTGGGTCCTGTTTGAAGATCCATGGTGTGCTGGCAAATATGTACACTGATCTGCACTATTGTCAGTCCCCAGCTGGCTTTTGCTGCAGCACCCAATATTTCTAGGCCTTTTTCCAGGAAAGTGTGCAATGGGAATATTGAAAGAGAATAGTTCTTCACTTTGTCTGTTTGAGGAGGCAGCCATCTTGGTAGAGACAGGGTTTTGAATCCTCATGTCAGACCTACCCCCTGATGACTAGTGATCTGATGACTGAAGGAGGAATACTCAAGAAGCAGCAGGAGAAGTTCAGAAAGCACAGATCCACTGAATGAATTAAACAGAAGCAGGAAGATCTTTGAACTGCAGGTCCTCGGGTACAGTTTCCTGTTCCACAAGGTCAGGGGGCAGCATAATAGTTATATCTTCTAATAGGATGCCTACTCCCTGATGATCTCACATTGCACATTTATGAGGCTGTAGGCAATACATTGCCTAGGCAAGTCACATATCAGATATTTTTTAGGAGGAATTTAAGACAAAAGGTACATTTCCAGGGTCCTGTTTAGGCACATTCCTATATGTTCTCTATTTGATCTTTTTGAACTCAGGTCCTCTTTATTAAAAGCAGACACTTTCAATTCCTTATCATTGCTAACAGTAGCATGCCATTACAATTCTAGTTTGGATGTAAGGGTATGTAATATGCAAACGTTGGTGTAAAAAAAAACATTTTTAATGCATTATCCAATAGGAAAATATCCTTTACTGCATATTTTATCCTTTGTAATTTTATATCTAGCTAAAGCCTATTTTGGATAGATTCGATAGGGGTCCCAAAAAGCCTGTGAATAATGTGAGAAAGCCAGTGCCTTCCTTCTAAGGGTTAATGGTAATAATAATTTGAAACCAATCCAACCTCTCTGGTAATAGAATGGCTACATTTGCTGTGTCTGCACCAACTTCATGTAGCCAACAAACTTTACATGTACATTAAAGTGCTTTGTGGGGGTCACTCATAACATCTTTATTTGGATACATTAATATACCATAAAAAAGCCTAATACACCACAATAAAAGCCCATTGAGGCATGTCATGGTGTTGTAAGGCATATTGTCACTGGGCTTTTTGTGACATTGAGGCAAAGGCTTCTTTTTGGCAACTCGCCCATGCATCTTACTATATTGTGCTCCTCAAAACAACCACACCGTCTTTTTCCAGAGCAGCGTGTATTTCTCCTGAGGCTTTTTGTGGGTTTTTCTTTGTATCCCGAACAATTCTACTGGTTGTGACTGCAATCTTTCTTGGTCTACCTGATCTTGCTTTGGTATCAAGAGATCCCCAAAATTTCCACTGCTTAACCACTAGCCTACTGGGCACTTATACCCCCTTCCTGCCCAGGCCAATTTCCAGCTTTCAGCGCTGTTACACTTTGAATGACAATTGCTTGGTCATGCAACATTGTACCCATATGAAATTTTTATCATTTTTTTGAGACAGATAGAGCTTTCTTTTGGTGGTATTTAATCACCTCTGGGATTTTTATTTTTTCTTAAAAAACCAAAAACCACTGAAAATTTTGAAAAAAAACATTTTTTTCTTAGTTTTTGTTATACAATTTTGTAAATAAGTGATTTTTCTCCTTCACTGATGTGCGCTAATAAGGCTGCAGTGATGGGCACTGATGGACACTGATAGGTGGCACTGATGAGGAGGCACTGGTAGGTTGCACTGATGGGCATTGACAGGCATCACTGATGGGCACTGATAGGCGACACTGACTGGCACTGATAGGCGACACTGACTGGCACTGATGGGTGACATTGAAAGGCAGCTCAGATGGGCACTGATATGCGGCATTGATGTGCACTGGTATACACTGATATGTGGCATTGATGTGGCACTGATGGGCACTGGCACGTGGCACTGATGAGCACTGACAGGTGGCACTTCTGGGGCCACACTGATCATCAGGGCACACTGATGATCAGTGCCCTGATGATCAGTGGACATGTCCCCTCCGAGGAATGCCGATTACCGGCTCTCCTCTCCTCTTGAGCTGTCAGCGTGACAGCTCGAGAGGAGAGAAATGCCTATAACCAGCATTTCCGTGTTTACATGTGATCAGCTGTGATTGGACACAGCTGATTACATGACCGAGCCGACATCTTCAGCTCTTTCCGTGATCCGGTGTATCCAAGGGACACAGCGGACCGGTGATCGCCGCGCTGCGTGCTCCCTGAGCCACGCATGCGCAGTGAGAATGGTAGGACATCATATGACGTCCTATCGGAATGAGAGAACCACCTTGCGCCCATCATTGTACTATAGGGCGGGCGGAAGGTGGTTAATAAGTTATTGAACAGTACTGACTGGCATATTTAAGGCTGTGAAAATCTTTTTATATCCTTTTCCATCTTTATAAAGTTCCATTACCTTGTTACGCAGGTCTTTTGACAGTTCTTTTCTGCTCCTCATGGCTCAGTATTTATTCTACTCAGTGTATCCACATGAGAGCTAGAAAACTTATTGACTATGTATACACTGACACTAATTGTAACTTAAAAAGCCACAGATATGGGAAATGAATCTTTAATTGCAGTTTTTAACCTGTGTGTGTCACCTCCTTGCGTTTGTACCAAGGCCAAACATTTCATGTAAACATTTGATCTGGGCCATTTGGGTTATTTCAGTTATCAGTATGATTTAAAAAGGAGCCAAACAACTATGTGATAATAAATGGCTTCATTTGATCACTATCCTTAAATAAAATACATTTTTTGGTATTGTCAGTCATATTTTCAATATCAATGCCAACATTTCACGTTTTCTGCCAGGGTATGCAAACTTTTGAGCACAACTGTATACATATTATTATTTTTTTTTTTTTTTACAGTGAGTGTTTAAAAATCTTAAACTGGGATCTTTTTTATTTAAGCAAATATGAAATATTGCATATTAATACTTTGAGTTCTGCTTTCATACAACAGATGGGGCTTTAGGCTTTTTTGCATTTGGTTTTCTACAAACTTATATCCTCTGTTGTAAAAACCTTATTGTTTATAGGACTCCATTGCTCAAAATGAGCTGTGCACACAAATGGCTTATTTGGAGCTGTGACTAATCCTGCTCACTTTCCCTCCTTCTGATTGATCATTTTGGTGGCACATTTTATACTTGAAATAAAATAACTATTGCCCAGGGAGCTTGGGGGTCAAAGGATGACACAAGATGCTCTGGAGTCGCTGCGTGAGACTGGAAGCTCTGGGCTCTCTGTATGACGTAGGATGCCCTGGCATCATTGGGTGACACAAGAAGGTAAGGTGTCACTGAGTGACACAGGAATGCAGTGCTTAATAAGGATGCTGCAGTCACTGTAGACACAGAAGTCACTAGACTCACCAGAGTGATGGTGGGGGTCACTGAAGAAGCAAGAGTTGCTGATAGTAATGGAGACATTGAGATTACAGGAATCTGGGATCACTGGAAAGAGAGGTTACTGGAGTGCAAGAGTGAAGAGATATGTGGAGGTGCAAGAGTGCAGAGATCTCTGGAAGCATAGGATTGCAGGGATTTCTGGAGTTCACAGGGATCACAGTCACCAGAAGTGTAGGGAACGCAGAAGGCAAAGGAAGACAGTGCCAGATGGATGAGGAGGGTACTACAACATAACATTTACACAGTCCTCCTCGCCCATCAAAGCTCCGGTTACAGTTGAAATGGGAGATTAAATCTTTTTATCAGGTGATTGCATCAGATGCAGGGACCAATATTTTTTCTCGGGGCTGAAGCCCAGCTAAACAAGTACTGAAGTCTACCACAAGACATCTTGGAGTCCAAAATTTGTTGAACTTCACATTCTTGAGATTGCTTGGTTGATGAAGTAGCTAGAAATGAAAGATAAGAAAATACATTCAGGACCAGAGGTATGAGTAATGAAATTTGGGAAGAATTTAGTAACCTGAGATGGGGAGGTCAGTTTATCAGAGGTTGCTCCTTAATGGGGAAGGGGGAGGGGAGACTTTCAGTACCTGGATCATCTGCTGGTGGCACTGTAGTTCCCAGAGCTAATGGGTGTAGTTCTGGTATCTACCAGTGGGTGTCTTCCAGTAGCCAGCAGATCCCAATGATAGGTTTCCATCTGATGTTGGATGCTGGAAAGGTATATAACTCCTCCTAGCTACCTTCTGCATCTCATTGTTTTCCTGTGCGCCATGTACCAGCTGATTCCAGGTTTGAGCAAACTGTCAGGGTCTCCAGGACATTCCAGAAATACAGAATATAGAAGTATACCTAAGGTTTTGTGGAGTCACAGAGAAGATCAGGGTACATGAGAGTCACAGAATGACACAGGGAGCTCTTTAGTCCCTGTGAGATACTAGATGCTCTGGGGTCACCAGGTGGCACTAGATGCTTGGAGATCACTAGATAACACAGAAGCGCAGGGGTCAGTGGAGACACAGAAGTTACTGGAGAAACCATAGTGTGTGTTTCACTAGAGATGCTGGGGGACACCTGAACACAAGGGTCACTGGAGATACTGAGGTCACTGGAGGCACATGAGTCTCTGGAAAAACACAGAAGTCAACGGAGACACAGGAGTTGCTGGGGACTCAGGGCCACAGGGAACACAGAAGATTCAGGTTCTTTGGAGACACAAGAGAGGTAAGGTCACTGGAATGTACAGGAGTGCAGGGAACGCAGGAAGAAACAGGAGCACAGGGATCTCTGGAGGCACAGTAGGCAAGGAGACTCCATGTGGATCCATGAGAATACAGTAGGTGCAACCAGGAAGCCCCATTGAAAGTGATGGGAGCCTGACAGCACCCACAGCTATTCATGGCCATTCACATGTAATCACTCATGCAGCGTTTACCTGCAGATGACCAGCCCCAGATGCAGACTTTCATCTGGGCTGATCATCCAGAAGTAATCATTGCATAAGAAATTACATGCAAACAGCCACAAATAGCTGAAGGCGATGTCATTGATTTCAATGGGTCTTCCAGGCTTCACCTCTTCACATGAATCCCTCTGGCAGGTAATCGCATATAGTTCCATTTGTATGTGTGAAGCCCAAAAACGACATCTGTGTGTCACAGAAGAAAGAGTGTTGGATACTTAATGCTAAATATAGGGCATGGTTAAGAAATGTCTGAGCCTGTGCAGCCAACTAGATTACTTCTACACTAAAAAGGGGCATGATTAAAAAAATATATTTTTTCATCTCATTATTCCTTTTATTGCCCCAGTGTAACACAGCTATGTAAGTGAAAGGGTTAAACTTGGTAATCACTTGATCGATAACCACTCAGAGAGGTGCATTTACTAAAACTGGAGCAAACAGAATCTGGAGCAACTGGTGCATAGTAACCAATCAGTCGGCTTCTAGCTTTCATTTTTCAGAGCTTAAAGTGTTGCTAAACCCAAAAGCAGTAAAATCAGTCTGTATATGCAGTAAAGCATGCTTGTTATACTCACTGTGAAATCTATTCCACAGTACAGAGCAGCAGACAGTTTTTTTGGGAGGGTGCTTGTGATCGGCACAAGACCTAATCAGCACAGTCCGGTCTGGGGTCTGGGGTCATGCAGCCTCATAGGACAGTCAAAGTAGAATGAAAACTCCTCCTACAAGATTAATCAGTGTTCTACCACTGATAGAAGTCTCAAGACCGCTATATACTACTGATTAGAAAAGGTAATACAGTCAAAAAGACTGTATGTGACCACACTGCAAAATATATTCCCATGGGCAACAAAATAAAAGGCTAATAATCAAACTTATGTGCCTGACAGCCAAAGTTAAAAAAGCTATAGATAATAAGAAAAGAGCTTTTATTAAATATAAAAAAGAAGGAACGTTATCATCGTTTTTAAACACTACAAAAAATATAACAGAATATGCAAAAAGGAAATAAAGGCCACAAAAAATTTGAAAACGAATGACAGATTGCAAAAGATAGTAGGACAAACCCCAAAAAATTCTTCAAATATATTAATAGTAAAAAGGTTTGGTCCGAGCATGTAGGCCCTTTACAAAATAATCTACAGTGGGTGACTGGGGACAAAGAGAAGACAAATTTATTAAATACCTTCTTCAGCTCTGTGTAGAGTTATTCACCCTTGAGGTCATCACAGAGGACAAGGAGGCACTCATTACGTCTGGAGGAAAAGAGATTTAATCTCCAAACACGGAAAGATTTCTTCACAGTAAGAGCTGTGAAAATGTGGAATAGACTCCCTCAAAAGTTGGTTCTGGCCAGCTCAGTGGATTGCTTTAAAAAAGGCCTGGATTCTTTCTTAGATACACAGAATATAACTGGATACTAACATTTATAGGTAACGTTGATCCACGGAACATCCGATTGCCTCTCGGGTTATAAGGAAGGAATTTTTTTCCCCTGCAGGAGCAAATTGAATCATGCTGGGTTTTTAGCCTTCCTCTTGATCAACTGTGGGTATAGGATTATAACTTTTTTTTTTTTTATATGGTTGAACTGGATGAACTTTTGTCTTTTTTCAGCCAGACTAACTATGTAACTATGTACTTAGCCATTTATGTTTACTAAAATTATTGCATTTCCATGTGCTGTGTACTGTAAAAAAATGGATATCGAGAATGCAAGGTTATGGGTTTAATGACCTTTTTCACACAGGGTGGACTCCGTTTTGCTCAGCAGGGGATCTGTCTACTGATCCACTGCTGAGCAGAGCAGAGCGGGCAGATGACAGGTCTATGTTCACTCAGTTTATGCAGAGCAGACACAGACAGAGCCAACTCTGCTCTATGGATAGCTGGGAGTAAACAGACCAGCTGTCTGTTTTAACCTGACCGCCCTCTAATCTGATCCACCTAGACAGAGGGAGACAATTATCCTTTCCGTTTTTGTTTTTTTTTGTTAGCGAATTCATTTACACTCGTCAGTTCATGTGGATACATGGACCATTCGATCAGGTCTGCCTG